TGTGTGTGTGTGTGTGTGTGTCACATGCTGCTGTCACTTCCTGGTGAGGCAGGTTTTAGTTGTGGATGTAAATAATTATTTTAAAAGCTCTTATACATTCGGTGCATGGAGCCAAGAAACGAGCTGCAGGCTTCCTGTATTTTCTCTGACGTGCTTTTTGTTTGAACAAACTATTCAGTTATTAGAAACACACTGAAAACCAGAATCCCGGTTATTTGTTATTTCTTATTTGTTATGTCCTAACAGCTGTTGACAGATGTTGATGATACCATATGTATCCAGACATGAACATAGATATTAAGCGTGATTTACAAACATTGTTCCTATTGAAAAGTGCAAACATGGCTTTGATCAACATCTGATAATGAAATACAAAACTTTTCAGATGTCATGTTTGTCAGAAACACTTTAGTGGGAGAGAAACTCTGAATTTCTACTTAATGCAATGTGTGTTCACAAGAAAACCTCCATAGACACATTCAAGGTCCATTAACTCGTCTTTTCTGGAGCCTGTTCAGACACCAGCTTCAGTTATGTATATTCGGTCAAACCATGCAATTGTACTTTTGCCGTAAGTGTTTATTTCAATGTCTTTTTCTGTGTCTCGTCAGATTTGGGACATGAGCGACGACGAGAGCATCTGAAGGGCGAACAAACCAACGGACTGGACTGTGGCCTCCACGTTTCTGTCTGGTCCTCCTCAATAGATCTCAACATTCACAAAGGACAAGTGGAGTGAAAGACTCGCTGAGGGCTTTGTGGACGACACTGAACCCAACCATGAAATTTACGTCATCACAACCAAGAACATTACAACATTGATGCTGAAATTAAAATTCCAGTTCGTCTTTATTTGGATTCAAGACCAGAAAAAATAGAACAAATAGAAATTCAGAGGTGGGTAATAGTTCAATTAAAAATGATACGAACAGTTAAAAAATTTGATTTTTTTTACTCCTGTTAATTAATCACGTACTTAAAGGAAATGTATGATGCTTTGTTCTGTGTTTTTTTTGGTTGTATGGTTTTTTTTTTTGCGTTTGTCTCCTCCTTCTTTTAGTTTTAGGCGGATGGCACCAACATCATGATGTCACGTGACCTCTCGATGCCCCACATAATGCACATGTAGTCTGTTAGTCTGGCATGTTCCAGAACAAAGCCAGGTGAAGCGAACGCGGAGGGCTGACATTTCCTACAATGGTTGATCAATCCCAACGGAGGGGCCAATCAGAGCCCAGATAAAGCCTCACAGGGAGTGTTTCAGACAGAGGCTGAGCGGAGGAGCTGATGTTTGAGGACAGTTTATTTGAATCTGAACGTGAGCAGAATACGTCTCCTTCAGTCACATTCATTCGGAATCAGCTCGATTCCTTGAGCTAAAACACAAAACACTCCACATTTCCACTTATTGACTTTTCTGAGACGGCTTCAGTGAACAGTCGCAGGTTGAGTCTCTCCGTCAGCACAAGTACTGGATTTGCTGAGGAGCCGTTTTTTTTGGAAGGACTTTGACAAACTACATCTGCTCACTCACTCAGTTTGAGCTTCAGATGAATTATGAAAACCCAAAACACGGTGGACAACTCAGCACATCCATCCGTCTCCCCGTCTGTGATACATACAGTTGTTAATACTTAAACCAGCATCACTCTTGAGGAAACGTGCACAGATGTGACTGAGCAGCAACACAACAGTGGCTCCTGATACAGAAAATATTTACTCTTGCTTCAGAAAAAACCTGGAGAAACTTAAGCGCTTCGTTACGTATGTGTTGACGCATGCATTTGTTTTTTTACTCTGTGCTGATCTGCTGACGTGTGTAATAATTTCAGTGTTAAGAAACGTATACAACAGCTACTTAAGAACAAGGATTAGTGGAATGAGAAGCTTGGAAAGCTTGAAGGTTGGAAATAAACAGAATAATTAAATATAATCCCACAATTTAAGACTTTTACCTCCAGATTCATTGTCACACGTGAGATTAAACTCAGGATTCAGACTTTTGTTTCCATAATTCTTATTTCTCAGTTTTTGTTTTTTTTACCTAATTCTCATCTTGAAATATTTCACCAAAAACAGGGATGAAATGTGTCTGTTATTAAACTGTTAACACCATGTTGCTGCAGAATTGTGTTTTATTTCAGATTTAGATCAGATCAGAAGTTTTTTCTATAATTCATACGACATTCCATCCATTTGGTTCAAGTTCACAGTCGATGTTGGTTCCCACTTTAAGGGAAAAAATCGAGATTCCGAGAATTAAATTGTATTATTGTTAAAATAATGTCTAAATATGTGTAAATATTACAAGTCATAATGCTGTAAGGTGTACTTTTACAAGAATTAAGTTGTTGTGAGAATAAAGTCGTACTATTGTTAAAGTAAAGTTGTAATTGGACGAGAGTAGTCATAATACTATAATAATTAAGTTTATATATTATCACATTAAAGTCAAAGTTAAAAGTTATATTAGACTTTGTCACTTTAGAAAGAATATCAGAAGATCAGCCTGTCGTCTGTGTTAAAATGAGACATGTGGAGACTTGATAAATTATGTTTCAGTATAATTTTCACAAATGAAAAAATGGCTCCTCAGCATCATATTATCAGAAGAATCTGTGACGTGACAGTGGAAGAAACTGTATTCTGAAGAAACACTTGGCCTCTTGTAGAGAAGGAAATGTTTGACGCTGGTCGACTGATGAATTTTATTGTTTCTCAAGAAACAGTGACATTTATTAAGATTTTGGATCAAGAGAGTGAAACTCTGGGGACTGCTGGTTCTGCTCACTGGTTAAAGTTTTTTTATTTATCGTCATTGGGCCTTTTTTCTTGTTAGATTACATGATTTTATGAAATCCCAGAACTTTGTTCTTCAATGAGGCCCTTATACTCTGTTGTACAACCTTTTACCTATTTGATTTTCATAATCATCCCATTACTGAGCACAAGCACAGCAGCACAGTTACTTGAGACGGAGGCCCACACACTCAGACAGTGGTTTAAAAGCACTTTATTGTTCATCAAGGCTACTTTACGTACAAAAAAGGTGGCCTGCCAAAACCTTTTTAGTAGGAGACACAGAGCCACAAATTGACTGTTGTTTTCTTAATACAATGTCTTCTCTTCTTTTACAGTTCAGAGTATTAATACCACTAAGTACATGCTACTTCCACTTCAAAAAAAAAAGAACCTGGAAAATGTGGTAGTCAGAGTATAGAGCAACTCCTCTTTGATTTATCTGCACAATTTATTTTCATGGTGTTTACAGATGCTAAATGGCCTCCAGATGGGAACCGTGACATCCTCAAAGCTCATTTACTGCTCGGTTCGTCTCAGCCTCACTGACGAGCAACGAAGCAGAAGAACTTCAGCACAAAATACCACTGAAATATGTTTTGAGATTTTCATCGGCCAATTTCAGTGTTCGAATTCAACAAGACTTTTCCTTGTAGCTTGGTTCCCATCTGTAAACCAAAATCAGTCATCAAAAGATTTTCTAAAGAACCCACAATGTGCTGATATGCAGTAGTGGAAATGTAACTTGCCTGCTAGCCCGTGATTAATGTTGATTTTTACACTTAAATGGAAATGGTTTGGAAAAGGCTAACGAGCGTTGTGGGCTGGTAGCAACATCTTTCTGTTCCACCGAAGCAAAACATGCAAACTGATCAAGAGTCTGCTGTTAAGGACCAACTCTTTTCTTTTTGCTCACGAGTGACGTCTCAGAAGTCACAGGAACAAACAGTCTAAATGATGGCGGATCACCGGGGGCCAATGGAAGTAGCGATTGTCACTGACAGCGGTGGCTCGTTGTGGTTTCATACACTTTCCGTGCTCCTGCACTCTATTAACAAAAAAGATCAACTTTTTTCACCAAAAAAAAAAAAGAAAAAAAAAGAAAATGCAATGATTACAATTTAAGGACAGGGGGAAAAAACAATTAAATAGCTACATATCATTAACAAATTAATTGTTCCTCAAAAAATACCTACGATTTTTTTCTCTGTACATTCGTTACGCACAGCGTAATGATGGTCTTATAGTTACCTATTATAAAAAAAGTAATTTTTTATTAAGTGATTTTCCTACAGTTTGTAGGGAGAGTGTGCCGAAGCGAAGAGAGAGCCTCCTACCTACAGGGTGGTAGTGAAACAATAATGAGAACAAATAATAATAACAGAAAAACAAAATCTTCTGGACACCAAGCCTCGTTCCCTCATGGTTTCTTACAAAATGTGAAGTACATCCAATCTTAGTCAGGGTCAACTGAATCTGAGGAGGAGGTGACGCTGTGAAAAGACTCGTGGCAGTGAACGTCTCGCAGACTGTTCTACAGAAGCTCAGCTCCTGAAGCTCTGACCCCCCCCCCCCAACATAACAAACTCACCACCCACTCTGAACCTGTCACAGAAAACAAGCCCAGATTGTAGACGACCTGTTTGTAATGAAGTCGACTCACTGGCTGTTGGGTTAGGATTTTAAAACATGTACCATCAGTTCTGGCTCTGTTGCATCTGCTCTGAAATGAGAGGATGGAATGTGTGGATCTAACGTTCCGTGTTGAGAACTTTAATGGATGTACTCATCATATTTGATTAAAAAATACCTAAACCAAATAAATATGTCGAATCTGTAAACCTCATGTTAGAGTCATGCAATGACACTAAACTGTTTCCAACCTCAGCTCTGTAAGTTCTTCGCACTGAACGTCCTGGTAACTTTTATGGCATCGTGTGTCCGTCCGTCATACGTTTGTGGACACCTTGTTATTCTGACATAAAGACGTCAGTGGGGACCCTCTGGGACAAGTGGCTGGTTATCAGCTCGATCTGTTGATGTGGAGATACTGAGTGTAAGTGAGGCCTGTACAAAGTTCCCTATAGGAGGAATGTATGCCGCTGTGGCGCAGGCTCTTTTTACAGAGTAAAATTCATTTCTTCAGGCTGCAGCTTGAACTGCAGCAACAATACAATGTTGTTCAGAACAGAAAGCAGTGAAATATAAAGCAAAAAAAAGGCTGGACACCAAGTCAGGACACGACAAGTCAACTGTTGAGGTTTGAGAGAGTTTTGATGGCGCATCACGAATCCAGAGTTGTGTTGTTTGTTTCCATCTCTATGATGTTTTCCAATGTTGTTTTAGGGACGTTATTTTTTCTCTTTCACAGTTAAATTCAAATTAGTGTTAGACATTTATCTATGGGTCAGAAAAATGTCTGAGAGCTGTCATCACCGTCTCTGACCATCAACAACACCTTGTTTTCCAAAAGCTTTCTAGCCTGCTAGCTTGTCTTTGACTTAGTACTTGTTGGAGCGCACGTAAAGGCTGGTGAGAAGGTGGCGGTTTTAAAACGGCACCCAAATAGTCTCACAACAATTATGTTGTTTTATTTTATCTCAGGCTTTGTGGAAAACAAGGCCCTGCAGACTGATTTGTGCCAATTTGGTGTCTCAGCTTTGTCACGCTGAAGGCCGTAGCATCCTGTACCACCAATGGATCAACATCTTAAGAAAACCGTTAACGGGCAGCGTCTCTCGAAGCCGACTCAACACCCTGGCGATCACGCCCATCGTGCTGAGGTGGTTTTGAGAAACGCAGGTCTCAATCGTTACACAGAGCCTGTCCGGAGGCTTGTCCCACTACAGATGTTTGTTACCATACTGATATTAATGGAAAACAAAAGTACAAAACTGTAATAATAACAATAACAATAATAATATGGAGTACAACTGACCCAGCAGTGAGTGTATAGTGTCTATGTCCGTTACTAACAACGAAAGAAGTAACAACTACCGTCCGAATGAAAAGGCTAATAGTAGTTAAGATTGAAATGCTTAAAAAACACTAATAGATACCAGCTATTAAAAAAACAAAACAAAAAATACATGCATGTGTAAAAGCATTAGTTTACCCTTCGAACCTTATAGAAAACTACCAAACCACAGTGTGTAGGGGAGGGAGGGAGGGAGGGAGGGGCAGCAGGGTGTGAGCCAAATATAATTACAACACCCATGTTCAAAGAGACACAAAAACAAAGGGCGTGTTTGAAGAGATCTGAATAATCTTCTCTCCCCCGGTCAAGAAACCAGACAGTTCTTTTTTATCTCCTTTTCTTTCAACCACAAAGTGACATGCAGTGTCATCTATCCCCGCGTCACTGTCAGCAGTTCAGTTCAGCCTGTGAAGCACATCAAAGCTCTTTGTTCCTGCAAACGCCGCGCTGTGACACGCTGCACTTTGTACTACGTCCATCAACACCACAGTTCACTGATTTGATAAAAACCTGACTGTGCTCGTAAAAAAAAAAAAAAATCACCGCACAACAACTTGGCACATTATCTTAACAGGTAAAGACCAGCGGGTGAAGAATCTGATTTGGATCCTACATCGTACTTTACACATGACACAGTTTGCTTGAAGTGGTGTTTTTGATCATGAGGTTTTCCTGCAGTTTCCTCATTTTTTTAAGGGATGTGGAATAATATGTGTGAGTAAGGCTTCTATACGTTTCCATGGTGACAGCAGTTTACTTTAATTGAGAAGTGGCCAGTTCCTCACACAGTTGAACTAATTGTTTACACCTCAAATTTAATAAGGAGCGCTCTCTGCACCCGCATGTGTGAATTAATGTGACTGTTGAGTGCTGGTGGAGAACTTAACATGTGATGGACAAACAGTAAGTGAAATGGCTTGGGATAGAATTCTGCTCTTCTCCCACCTTCTCCATTTTTTTATTTAACAGCTAAATAAACCAACATCAAATTTATTTGGGTCATAATATTGGCCAGGAGTAAATTATGTCCAGGTAGATGTTATACGGTCCCAGAAAAGTTGATTTCAGTCAGTTTGAGTTCAGTTTTATAAATCCCAGTGTGTACGGTGCCAGATTGTGATGTTGACATGTTAGCCTTCACCCTCTATGGCAGTAGTGCAAGTCAGACCGAGTCGATCGGTTAAGTTTACACATACAGTAACACATACAGAGGAGACAGAGGGTGAGAGACTTAGAACAAGACCAGAGCGGAGCCTAGTTGGTGGCTATTTGTTGTTGGTTGTTGTTTTTGATCTGGGCATTGATAAACGTCAACGTCTAAAGGTTTCTTTGGTAGCACAGTCAGGTGGTTTGTGATTATTTTCTCCAAGGTGGTTCTTTCTCATCTCTTCTATCAAACATCAGGCATCTCATAACGCAGAAGCAGTACACAAAAACTACTGTTAAAAACAAAACAAAAGAAGAAGAAAAGAAAATTAATAATTAAAACGCCGCCTCTCCTCTCTCTCTTTATGTACATATAACTACAGACACGTGCCTGATGATGCTCCTTTCAGTCCAAGAGCTGAATCCTCATCACTCATGACTTATTGTCTGACATTAGCTAACCAGAGGACAGAGGGTAAAAAAAAACAACGGTTTATTTATTGCTGATTTGATCCTCTACGAGTGCATAGAGGGAGAGAGCACGCTCGACCCGCAGGTGGGCGCTGCCCCTGGGACGCTGGTGACAGACCAACAGAGTGACAGGGATGTTGGAGTCGGGGTGATTGGGAGTGGGGTGTGAGGGGGCAGGGGAAGCGGGGGCAAATCCCTCTAAAATCTCTCGGGCCCTTCAGGAGACCACAGATGGGGAGTGGTTGTGGTTGATCATGTGACTGTCGGGGGAGGAGTTCGGGCTGCTGCCAGACGACGAGGGACTCCCCTTGTTTTTGATCTGCAGCCAGGTCTCGCCCAGCGCCTTGGCGAAGTGGTCGTCCACCGAGCCTGTGATGGACACGGAGTTGGTGGCGGGCTCGGGCTCTTTGTAGTTCTTCCCAAGGCTGCGGCGGAAATGCTCTTCGATCACTGGGTCGCAGGCTGTGTTGGCTAAAAGAGCGAGGGGGGAGAAGGAAACAGATTTTTTAATCCCCATGACGAAATAAAACTTGTATAATACGCAGTGGGTTATTTATTACCCAACATCAGCTTAAACACTAGTAATGTGGGTTTTATTTCAATGGAAAAAACGAAATCCAACATCTACTTCACTTTTTCATTGCAGTTTTTTTTACATTAAATCCCTGTTTTAAATTTCAATGTTAACCTCAATGAGATCATAGGGATTTCACTGCTATCATAAAAAAACAACCACAGTGAAGTTATCAACCCACAAAAAACATAACTGACACAGAGCAGAAGAAGAAAACAAACTGGAGCCTCAAATGACTTTAACTACACAGATAACAGGAGAGACTGTTAACAAAGCATGTAGTGGCTGCATTACAACAACTGATGGACTATAAAGAGAAAAACTGAAGCATCGCTAGTTATATAAGTCAGACTGAATGTAGAAAGTGAGCTGCCCTCTGGGAGAAGTTTTAAACAAACCAAGTTCTGGTAAACATTGCTGAAGTAAAAGAAGACACACAACAAGCATGTCATGTGTGAGTGTTTGTACAAATGCATGTGCATGAGTGCACTCACTGTTGGCTCTCCTGTAGTTGTTAGTGAGGCTTGAGCAGCCATTGTGAGAGACTGGACAGTGAGACAGGTTGCAGTTGCGGTTGTTGGCCGGGGCGCATGTGATCACTGAAGGACGATTCTGAAACATAAAGACAAAATTCAACGTGTTAGGTGCAGGAAGAGTAAATAGAGCATGGGAAATTACAGTAAAGGAAACAGACCAGGAGAAGAGTTGAGGTTTAAGGGAATGATTCAGTTGCCAACAGGTTTTTAAATCAATTGGAAACTTCCTCCTATCGACCGTTCAATTAACTTTGATGAAAGGACAGTCACATCATAAGGAGGTCAGACCAGAGCTGAGGTTTACCTGACAATTTTCAAATAATCAGAATGTAATAAGATGTGCATGATACCTGCTGGCGTTCCATGGCGCTGACTGCCTGCGGCACTGTGGTCATGGCTGCTGTGCTGCTTCGTGCAGACTCCATCATGCTGTTTTTGGTTAACGCCAGTGGCTGGTCCATGCCGGCTAAGCTGGCCAGGTGGTGATGGTGGTGGTGTGCGTGGCTGTACAGATGGTTGCTGTGGACTGCAAGACCGCTGGGCACCACCACTCGCTCGATGGGGCTCCGGCTCCGGTCCTTAGAGACCGAAGAGCTGCGGTAGTCTCCACTAGGTTTCCTAGGAAACAGAGGTAGAGAGGAAGAACCACATTAATTTACACGAGGCAGATACATTTAATAGTCTAATGTCTTTCAGAGATTCAGGAATGAAAGCATTTATTACGCTTCCAACTTTTAAAATGATTTGTTCTTTGCTACATTTTAAAGAAATTCTGAAGTTTAAAGTAATTTTTGTATTTTACCAACATGATACTGGATCCAAAACTACATTGGCTATCAAATGTTCAAACCTGCGAGAGGGATGAGCTCAAGTGAAAACGAAAGGAGAAGAGACTGGTGGAAATGTACAAAATGAAAAGATGAAAAGTAGAGACAAATAGGACAGAGAGATAAGAGTCAGTTAAGAGAGAATGAAATGAGAGCGACAACAGAGAAGATGAACAAATGAACAATTGTAAATGGGCAGGACAAACAGATGCTTTTAATACTGATCTAAAACATACACTCTGATTGCTGGAGGACAGATTGATAAGACTATTTTGTAAGAGCACATGCTCACAAACTCACTCTCTTTTCTTGGAAGGAACACTAAAATTATCTAACATGGATGAACTACAAACTTACCCCTGCACAGAGGGGCATAGGGGCAAAAAGTTCAAAATTCCACAAATCTACTTTATCTCCCAAGGGAGCCTGAGGACAGCTGCACTCACTGCTGTCTAGATGAAAACCTGGAAAATCCTGCAGCGTGAAAGTCCTAAGAGTCCAGCTGCGTCTCACTTTCAACAAATCTTGCCAATGCTGTTGTCGTTTTATTTTTTACAGTTTTCTTTTGCTTGACTTCTATTCCACAACACACTTTGACAGAAGGTGAGCTGGCCACAAACATTCCCATTCCATTTGAGAGAGTCACTTCCCACCACCTCCCAAAAAAACCTCCTGCTCTTCATTGAAAACACAGAGATAAAGACGAGAGATTTATACAGTGACAGTTTAATACAGCGCAGATTTTGGCCTCTTTATTCTCCGGCTCCCAGCTCTGATGATAATGACTGTAATATGTAGTGAAGTGGTTGGGCCTGATATTGTGCACACTTGCTTGCAGTTTAACAGGTAGCAATTATTTTCCTCTGTGCGTCAAATGTGGTCTGTGTGCATGTGTGTGTGTGTGTGTTGGACTGTGTATTACACCCTTCCTGCAGCTCCACTCCCCTCCTACAATTTGAGGCCCAGTTACAGGGAGTGAGATTTACTGTACTAGGCTCTTGCTATCTCTGCTTCTCTCTCAGGCTTCAAACACCCACATGCTTACCCACATCTATTCACAAATCAACACACACTGCCTTTCCTCCCTTCAACACTGTAATACACACTATACATAGACAATGAAGCCTCAGTTAGGAAAAAGCTATTAAAATTTACTTTAAATAAGCTCTGCTGAAACAATGGAGGCCAGAAAACGACATGAAATCTTGTCTTTATTCTTCAACCAGATACTGTGTGGAGGCATTTCCCACCCGTGTGAAAAGGTCTGAGTGAGAACAAACGGACTCAAAAGGAAAAAGGAAAAAAAGCTGCAGCCGCTCTTTAAGGTTTGTTTGGATGCAAAACAACAAGTTCAGGCAAACAATTGTAGATCCATGTGACCAGGCAACCTGACTGCTGGGTCAAGCATCTGGAGTCCACAGCACCGTCCTCCACAAATAAATAGTCTCTGCAGAATACAGAGAGGGAGAGAGGAAAGGCTTAGGAGAGGTGGGGGGGCTGCATGTGAATGGTCCGGACCTCTACGATAAGAAAGAGTGAGGTCGGTAGTTTCCTTCGTTTGTGCCGAGAGCTTACATTAGCAGAGGGACCCCCCTCTCTGTTTTCTCTCTTTGTCTTTCTTTCTTCTTTTTCTCTCAATCTGCTGCAAACTTCCTGAGGGTTAAAGAGGGAGAGACTTGGCAGCTCTTACACAAACCCTGGCTGACCATCCAGCTTTTGGTTTTTTTAAGTTCCTTTTTTCTACAATAGTCAGAAATGATTCCTTGGTGGTGTTTATCACATTGAAATCAGGTCATAATAATAACAAAACTGTGCACAACTGAATGTATTGTTGTTAAAACTTTTAATCAAACGCTACAAACCCATATCTTCATTTTTAAGCAAAGCTTTATCATAACAAAGGTCGATCTCTCATCCCCCTCCCAGCAGCTGGGTCTTCAGTATGGTTGTGGAAGTTGTTCCAAACTTTAATCATTGCCAACGAGTGGGCATGCCCACATCCTCACACAAGAGGGGCCGTCACCGGAGCCAGTGAACGGGATCAACAAATCCAACCAATGAATGGCATGGCTGTTGAATCCATCACCGCCCCCGCCTTCCCCTCGCCTGATTGCCCACCAAACCCCGGACCACAATTCATGCCAGGGATCATGCATTCAGAAACCACTGCGCCTTTGTCTCTCTTACTCACCTCTCAATTATCGTTAGGGCTGCAGCTGGGGAGAGGATGGAAAGGGCGGACAGAGGGGGCTACGCATGAGAGATGGGCATGGGGGGTGGTAACAAGGGTGAGAACTGAGACAGAGGGCTGCCAGTTTTGAGTCTAGATGAGTGGATGGGAGCTAAAAGTGGGAGACCAAGGGGGACAGCCATTGAAACATAAAGAACTCTGAGACTTAGCTCCTACAAGGGAAGGCAACATGTAGCAAAAAGTTGAAGCAGCTTAATATTTCTTTTTTCACAATACATTTTCACTGGGTTACTTTTCACTTTAGAATCAAGCAGATCTTGGCAGATTTTACCATAATTGGTTAAATGATTTTTCTTCCATGAATCAGTCAGACTAGAAAATTCAACTTGTGCCTTTATCAAGGAGAAAGCTAACATATTACAGGGTCTGACCAATTATTTGATGGACCAGGGCCAGAAAAAAAGTTTATGCTGGGCAAGTTGATTGACCTGTAACGGAGTAGATATGGAATCCAAATATAAGACTGGTGTAGTATGCCAAAGATACATTCAAGTTCATGTCTACTGTATACACATAATTAACTGTTATCGAGTAGGTCATCACATATCACAGTCTAATGTTGGCACCATTATGAGATACTTTCCTGAAGCACTTGTGTCTAGCTACCCACGTAGCCCACTTCATGGAGCTACGGTAAGTCCCAAGTTGTTCAAAGTTCAGCGTCTGGTACTAAAATCTGAAAATACTGATACGATCATACACTCTTCCTTGACTTTTCTTTTTTGGCTGCTGACTGGTCAGTAACTGTATTGAGCTAATACTAGCTAACATCAGCATGCAGTAGTTCCCTGCACATATCTCCCGAGTAGAGACATAAATGAATCATGATGTTTGATAAGGTTAAGATTTATTACGACACCACTTATAGCTACAAGCGATGTGACCTCCATGGGCTGTGACTGGAATCAAATGATGTTGGTGTTTGCTACTTCCTAAACACACAAAAAGCCTAGAGGGGTGCGTTTGATTTGTTGTACTCGTCCTTGCCAGATAAGAGGACTGTTTCACTGTTCGCGATTCCATTTGCATCAGATATTAACAACAAGTACTACTTTTTGAGAAAATATTTGTGTATGTTGCTGTACGTTAACATAAGAAAGAAAATTTAAATCATTTAGAATAATAAAAACATTTGGTTATGGTCACATGGTGGAGCGCCTCTACTTTGAATGTAATTTGAAAAAAAAGGAAGAGCACTGATTCTTTTTTCAGTTAAAAATGGAAATGTTTGACCGAGCCCTGTGGCGGGCACTCACTGAAAGATCCCTTCATTTAAAACCCTACCAGTCAAACCCTCATAAATGGTATAGTCATATATCCTGAACAAAACTACTTGGATCTGTCATTATATACTGCCTTTTAAGTAACCATTCACATGACAGCCTGTCTTCAAGTTAACCTCAGGTTAAAGATCATGACCATGATCATGTGTTTGAAAGTCTCAAGATTCTTGTAAAAAAAGAACGAACTGGTAATTTGTTCTTTGTATGTGCAAACCTGCCTAATTGACACAATGAAAATCTAAATAAAACAAGTGAAACAATAACTTTAAAAATATGTTTTTTTTCCAAAAGTGTGCTAGGTTTAGAGACTGACAATTTGGTGAGTTAACCATATTTCACTTTGAGGCGAAGATACAGCAGCTATAAAAGCTCTGAGCTTTTTCTCACAATTGTGCTCCAAAGTCTTCAGAGAAAACCTCACTACAAATCTTTGGTTGGGCAGAGGTTTCCATCCTACTCTTTCACGAAATAAATAAAGAAAGAGCAAGGGAGGGAAGGGGAGCGAGATACACACAGGAAACATCTGGGAAAAATCAGGGTGTAGACAGAAGATGACAAAAAAGAAAAAAAAAAAGACATGATGAAGGCTCAACCACAGGTTACAACCAGACCCAAGCTCTGCGAGGTCTGCAGAAACCCACAAAATGGCTATTATATATATATATACATACACACACAGCCTCACAGGACTGACTATGTTTTCTAAAGTATACAAACATCTCCACACAGTGTACTCTCATCAGCCCAGGCATTAATATTTGCATCCTCAGTACAACCTAGAGTAGGTTTGTCAAAACTCAGACGAAATACACATGGACAGGTATAATGTAGATACTGTTATTGTCAAATTATCTTCTTTGGCATACAACATGCAATATAAATTATTGCATAGAATCAATGAAATATGTTAAATCTTGCATTATGCCATAAGCATGTACATTTCATTTCTACATGATTTCCAAGCAACTGTTTTAAATTGTTCACATTTTCACTCATGCAGAAACACAAGTGCACATTTGCCAGTTGTATGACTGCAGAGACAGAGGGCTGAAGAAAATCTTTTGTTATCAAAGCTGGGACAGATCGGATATGGGAATAACCACAACCAGAAGGCAAAGAAAACATGTGAACACGCACTCGCGCACACACGCACACTGAAAAAAAAACATGCTCGCCCTCCTTTTCTCGCATGCTCACACAATATATAAATAGTCAATAGGGTAACAATGACTTCACCAGCGTTGACCCTGCTCACGC